ACACTATTCACCCGATGCAGACCGGGTTCGTCAAAGGACGTAGGATCCAAGATAATATCCTGTTAGTCAATGAGCTTCAAAAACTAACAAGCCAAGACAAGCGAAATGCGGCCATAGTCTTCATTGACTTCGAAAAACCGTATGACCATGTGGAGTGGCCTTTTTTGGACAAATGTATGGAGAAAATGAACATCGGACCAGACTTCCGGCGCTAGACTGGAATACTCCATAAAAATGCTGCAACGAGTGTCCAGGTCAATGTTCGGATTGCGCCAGCCTTCCTGCTGCAACGGTCAGTCCGCCAAGGGGATCCTTTGGCCCCTTTCGTTTTTATAACAGTAATGGAGGCGCTGACAACAAACCTTCGCGCTAGCAAAGACCTGAAGAGGTTGCAGATCGCGAACATCCCGAACGACGCGATCCCTGTTTGCTCGTTGTTTGCGAATGACCTTACCCTCATGATCGATGTCACTGCCACAAACATGAAAGAAATCAAGTTGCTCTTCCATCGATTTACAATGGTCTCGGACATGACCGTCAATTGGGGAAGCAAAACCTTGGGTTGGTGGAACCACCATTAAGGGGTGCACCCCCCGGAGTCGCGACAGGTTAAATGGCTTCCGGAAACGTCCCCAGTTAGAGTGCTACGAATTACGTTGACGGCTTTAGGCAAACCCGCATCAAATGACGAGTGGATCCTTAAGCTCGCCCTAAAGAAATTGGCTCGCCGGAAAGACCAACACACCTCCCTTACAGGCAGGGCGCTGGTGATTAACAGTGTAGTGCTGGCGGCCCTTTGGTATAAATCTGCAATCTGGTCCCTCTGTAAGGAGGTCGTCATATCACTAAACATACAACTAACAGCCCTGCTGTGGAGAGGCAACGGCGAGCTTCCGAACGCGATTCGCAAGGTAGCCTGGGCATCGGTAATCCAGCCCAAATATAAAGGGGGCCAACAGATTCTGAACCCGGATACCCAAATTGTAGCACTAACTGTTTAATGGGTGAGAAGATTGCTCTTCACCCACCACCTTCCATGGTATGCCTTGGCACTGGAACAGATAGCGCGTCTCGCCCCACAAGCACCGCAAGGTGTTAACACACTGATTTGGCTGGACGACCGTTTCTAGACTGTGCCAAGGTGCCCCCGAACAGACCGAGCCCCATCCCGAGACGGAGCCCGCTCAGATTTGCTCAGGGATGATTTCTAGGTTCGGGTAGGCTTGGCGCCAACTCCCCGTTGCCTGACAGACCTTCGCCGAAAAGGTGGGAGGAGATGATGCAACAACTTCTTTTCGGGAACAGGAGGATTACTGACAGACACAGCAGGGTATATTGTAGCTCGGACACCCCAAGGAGCAGTTGGGTAAAAAGAGGCATAATCAGAATAAAGGACATATGGGACACAGAAAAGTGGGACTGGAAAACAACACCTAGTTAAAGACCGTACTAAAACACTGCCACAAGGTCCAGGAAAACCTAGACCTGCTGAATTTTGCGGCTCCCCTGGACTGGGTGTGTATATTGCACAGAGGACCACAGTTAATTGAAGAGGATTGGGTAGCCACCCCGGGGGACCCGAAAAGTGTAGGCAACATGGTAGAAGTGCGAATAGATGAGACGCTGGTCAACCTCTTCCACATAGACAAGGATAATATCCTCACCCGATATAACCCAGAGGCAATGAGATGGTGTAGAAATTTGGACCTGCACAGGATCCGGGTGCTGCGGGAAAAAGATGTGTGGGTAGCTTACCAGCCAAAGACCCCCGTGATAGAACTCCCCTGCGACCCCGATGAATGGTAGTGGGCCCCTCCGCAAAAATATAGAACAGGGAAGAACCGAAAATTGTACACTTTGACGGTGAAGGCCACATACCGGGTGGTACGACCAAAGGTGAACATAAAAGAAAAGGTGAAGGCTCGGTGAAGGTCTCACTTGAACGTAGGAATGGAGAAACTCCACCCCATCCGATGGTTCACCGCCACAAGGTCTAGGCCAGCAAAGATGGCCTCGCTGCAGTGGAAGATTGAACATCACTGCCTGCCCACAAGTAATTGGCTGATCGAGCGTACATAGCTGGAGCAGAAGGGGCAGGCGTTACCATGGTGTAAATCGTGCCACACGCGTTCCCCTCCCACATAATTCCGGAAACCATAAAACATATATTCATGCAGTGTCCAGGGGCAGTTCTCACGTGGCGATGGTGGGACAGAATTTGGACCCTACTGGCCACGGAGTCTAACTGGCCATGGGATTGGAGGGCCATATTATGTGAAGCATGGTCCTTCCCCACTGACAATACTTTCAAAAACAACATGTTCAGGTTAGGGAGAAGGGCGGTGATGTGGGCCCTCTAGAGAAAACGTTGCACACATACCAGTGAGGGTGTCCGCATAGAAGAGGAAGAGGTAACAGAGACAATACAGCAATATATTCAGCAAGAACTCATGATACAGTGGCAGAAGGTTAAAGACCGACTCAACCTGTTTCACTCAGCACAAGATATAACACGAGCAATTCATCAATTCTCCGGGGACTGGTTGGGCAGTGAGAAGGGGGGCTGGATTGCAGGTGTTAGATGGGATGGAAAGCCTGCCCAGGGGTGCAACCAGGAGGAGTTCAGGACTCAGGAGGGACTACCGGATCTGCTTCAAGGATTGGACTACAGTGGGTCAGGAAATCCCGCTGAGACCTGCAACAAATTTTCCTGACCCCTTCCCCCCTCACCAGCTGGCAATGGTGGACATGCAATGGTATGGAGCGGACTGAATGGGCAATGCACAGCTATAGAGCGGACTGGTACAGTTGAATGAATAAATGGGAAGCTGGTGGGGCAATGAAGTTGGTTGTGGCAGAGAGGGGATGTGAGGAACTAGGGTGTAGCAGCAGGTTTCTGGCGCCAGGTTCAGGGTGAAGCGGTCCCGCCCCCCCCCCCCTCCACGCCCCCCAACATCCTGCTCAGTCAATCCCCTGGACCCCAGGGTAAGCAATGCTGACAGGTATATTCCGCATCTCCTTTTCATGAAATGGTTCGAATTCTGTCCATGTAAGGGACGCTGGACCCTGGACCCGGTTTCCAGCAGGTGTCGCGGAGCCCCCCCAGGTGTTAGCGGTGGCTGCTCTTATCAGCACCACTAGCACTGACGGGGACGTGTGTTTCAAAAAAGAAAAAGAAAAAAAAAAGAAAAAAAAGAAAAAAACGAAGTGATCTTTCCAGGAAAACTACCAGAAAATAAAAAAATTTGGACCGTGAGAAATATGCTGTGCAGCCCATGCCGATTGCTCACATTTTCCATTTTTTCCACTCTACGAAGTGAGCGTCAACAGAAAAAGTAGCCCAACTTGCATGATTTTTTGCGCTCAGAAAAATGACTCAAAATTTCTGAAAATGAGAGGGTCTGTGAATGTCATCGTGGCCTTTCCAGGACGAAAAAAAAAAAAGAAAAAAAAAGACCGTGAAATAAATGTCGATTCTCTCATTTTCTAATTTGACGGCGCTACCACGTGTGGACCAACGGGAAAAAGTACGTCAACTTCAGGAAAATTCCCGTTGGGCACACGTGGTGGCGCTGCAACGGTCTAAGGCGTGGTAGCTGCAAAAAATTGTCTAAGCCGCAAAATATATTCTGGAAAATTCCCGTTGGGCAACACGTGGTAGCTGCGATTTTTCACGATCAAAAGAATGTGTCAAGAAATCCGACATTGGAGGGTCCATGGAGATGGCCGTGATCTTTCCAGGAAGAAAAAAAAAAAAAAAAAAAGTCTAAACTGCAAAATATATTGCAGCAGCAATTCGCTGGATTTTCCATTTTTACAACTCCCCTGGTTCTCCCCACTGTGCTACCGCTAGCGCTCGTCAACCTGTGCTACCGGTCCCCCCGACTTTAGGACGGCGGGAGTGGTGGTGGTTCAAGTCCCACTAGCAGGGGTGAGATTTGGTTCCCTGTACGCATCGACTCCTGCCATCAGATGTGAACATCTGACAGCCACACTGTGGCCTCGTTCAGAAATACTTGAAGGGGAAACTAACTCCCGCTACTGGGACTTAGGACGTCGACCAACCCCTCAGCACATGCAGAAAAGACACTTTTTTTTTTTCTTTTTCTTTTTTTGACACAGAAAATATGGTTGTGTATCTTTCCATGTTCTAGCGGAAGATTCATTCTCGTTTTGCACATTTGGTGAGTGGTTGAGCAAGAGGCTGTGTATTCCAACAGCTCACGGGTGTCACGACTGTGGGCCTCGCCGCACTAGTCGCCAAATGCCAACATTTTCAATGTATCCGGACCAAGTTGGTGTTAGAATTCATTCAGAGCGTTGGCGTTAGGCGAGTGTCGGGGCCTCGCCGCTCTGGTCTCTGTATTCCAACAGCTCACGGGTGCAGCAACTGACCATCACGACTGTGGGCCTCGCCGCACTAGTCGCCAAATGCCAACATTTTCAATGTATCCGGACCAAGTTGGTGTTAGAATTCATTCAGAGCGTTGGCGTTCGGCGAGTCGGGGCCTCGCCGCTCATGACAGATCCTGATACCTTCAAAACAATTGTGTTTGGCAAGCGGTGCAGGGGGGGTCCCCTAGGCGCCGCTAGATACGAAATTCCCAGCGGGGAAAAAAGAACTACTGCCGCGAGTTGGCGCGGAGGCAGAATACGGGGGGGGAAACCGTCGCTGGAGCCCCGCCAGGAAAACCAAACAGAACGCCGAGAAACAGCAGCTGTGTCAGTTACCCGCAACTCAAGCAACTGCTCGAGCAAAGACTTCTCTTTTCTTTTTACTTTTTTTTTGTTCTCTTTGCACATTGGATGGAGCAAACCAAAGAAATCCCATGCTGGCATGAGCCAGAATAAGTCCCACGGTGACAGAAGGGAAATCTTTTATACATTAAATGATTGAACCTTCCACATTTTCCCACCCGACAGCACCGAGCAACACCAGCAAAATCCATACATGGGGGCCCATCGAGGCGGGGTTGGGGGGGCGGGGGGGGTTTCGCCACAAACTAAGGCTGGCGAGATGCAAATCTGATGGCCAGAAAAGGCCCAGAAAGCATCAGCCAGTGTCAATGGGGAGGGGGCGTTGCCAGCGGGCTTGATAATGGTAGGCACTAGGTAGATAGCCTCAGATAATCTACTAACAAGCACTCTGTCATTCGTCGATCTCTCTCTTCTTCACTTCGTTCCTACGGACTCCTGGATTCACTTCGATTAAACAGCAGCCCGTTATTGACATACAAATGCCCAAGGAACTGTCTTGGAACTGTCTAAGAACTGTCTATACTAGACTGTATAGACGTAAAAGTTCATTCTAAGCCATCTACCAGTAGAAATGCGGAGTGGACCACGCAACTGACCATTCCTATAAAATTGTGTGCAGTCCACCAGCAGAAGCACCAAGTGGGCCCAATTAACGGGCCCTGAATGCCAGGATCCAATAACACTGGGCCCCTAAAGCTTTGCTCTGGACCATCAAGCGACCAGACAGACCAGCGAGTGGAATGAGTAGTTCGGTGCCACAGAACCTAGCCAAAGCATGTAAAGAGCGCAGTGACTGGATTCAACGAGTGGCCTTGTACGATCTAAAGATTCTTAACTGAAAAAAAATGAGCAACTAGCAAACCGACAACCAAAATGGGGGGTTGGGTTTCTCACCAACGAAACGAAGGGGTGCATCGCGAGGTCGCTCAAACAATGCAAATGCAATAGACAAACAGCCGACGTCAATTTGCTCGCGAAATGCAGTAGACAAACTCCTGAAATCAAAACTGCGAGACTACCAGTAGCAGCATCGTCACGTCGCTCAAAGAATGCAATAGACAAACTGTCGATGTCAATTTGGTCACGAAATATCACAAACTGCTGAAATATCACAAACTGCCAGACTGCCAGTAGGGGCAATCGACCGCCTAGCAAACCGACAACCCAAACAGGGAGGTCATCGCGGCTGAAACAAAGGCATGCATCGTGATGTCGCTTAGGCAATGCGGTAGACAAATTGCCGATGTCAGGTCAGTCACTCAGCGCGCTAGACAAACTGCCCAACTACCACCAGGGATAGTCACAAGACCTAGAACAAATCTCCTCTCTCTCTCTCTCTCTCATTCCATATTTTGATCAGGATTGCCGTCAACAATGTCTGGTAGCGGTCCATCAGAATCGTCATCTAGAACATGTTGGGTTCCTCCAGTAGCCACAGCCTCCTGATAAGCCACTCGCAGGCAGTTGTGGCAGCCAGACTTTCGCCTGCGGACTATGTTTTGACGATAATGTGCCAGTACCAGGCGTGTCAGTTGCTGCGGAAGGTATTTCAGCAGAGCCCGGGCTAGTGCGCTCTGTCTCTCATTCCATATTTTCATCAGGATCGCCATCAACAATGTCTGGCAGCGGTCCGTCAGAATCGTCATCTAGAACATGTTCGGTTCCTCCAGTAGCCACAGCCTCCTGATAAGCCGCTCGCAGTTGTGGCTGTGAGACTTCCGCCTGCGGACTATGTTTTGACGATAATGTGCCAGTATGAGGTGCGCGCGTTGCTGCGGAAGGTATTTCAGCAGAGCCCGGGCTAGTGCGCTCTACAACAGGGATGGAGGCATCATCAGAAGCGACAGCAGCAGCATGGGGCCATGCAGACACAGAAGTCACAAGTCCATCGCCTACCGAAACCACTCCACCGATTTCATCCACTTGTAATTTGGTGTTGGAGGGGGATGATGAGACCAAAGGTGGGGTCTTGTCACTTCCTGATGATCCTCTACTCCAGTTCAATTCGCAAGGTCCCGGATCCGGATCCACACCCAGCCGCATAGGCAAACTGGCAGTGGCTACAGGGCCAGATCCTCCTCTGACTGTAGAACAACCTTCCACTTTATCCGCCCCTTTACCCATCATATAAGGTCTGTCCAAAAGACCTGTTCTGTAAGCATCGCGTACCTCTCGACTCCCACCCCCACCCCCACCTCCAGCGCCACCTCCCGCTGACGGTTCAACATCCATTATCCCATGCAAATCCCTCATGCCAGCGTGACCACCACCCGATGTTGCTGCTGTGCCTGTTGTAACTGATGTCCGTAACCCGGTTCCCAGCTTCTCTGTGGGCAGATTTGGTTCAGCCCCTGCATGATCTACCCCTCTCCCTCCTGTCACTCTGTTCATCAGTTCATTGTTGCCCGGCGACGTCCCTTTCACTATTGCCATTGGTACAGTGCTGTAGGAGGTGGAAGTTTTCATAAGAAGTTCTCCGGACTTGCAGCCCCTCTGCGATGTAGTGCCTACATCAGGCATGATAATGTCCTTGCTTTCACCAGTTGCTGCCAGGCGGGCAGTATAGACCGGGGAAGGGCTATCGGCCATAGCAGCGGGACCTCGGCCGACCTGGTCAGCGTCTCTCATTCCCACCTCACTGCCACCTTGCTGGTTTGCACCGCCATATCCAAACACTGCAGCTGTTTCGAGGTTCCCTCCACCCGCGTTACCGAGCAGAGAGTCACTAGTCGGCATCATAGCACCATTTATATCCATGAGATCGAACCCGGAGAGCCCGAACGCAGCCCGTTCCATGTCGCTAGCATAGTCCGCACACCCCAACCATGAATCTAAATCTGCCCATGGGTCGCCGCTGCCCGGATGATGTTGGCTGTCGATCCATCGATCTGACGCGGCCGCGTTGCCTGAAGCTGCTCTGTTCAAGTTAGTGGTATACGTTTTATTCGCTGCCTGATTGTTGCTCAGGGCCACAAACCCTTTTCCATGCCCTACAGGTGCACTCAAAATGGGCGATGTTGTGGCGGGATATGGTAGAGCTCGCGGATGAAGGAGTGGTTCGCAAGCAAGCAACGCATGGGCGCAGAACTGGCTCAGCTCCGTCCCTGCCTCGTGGCGACAACGTCTGAAAATAGATAATGCCTGAGGAAGGAACGGTGGTCTGTGACAGCGAGGTGCAAGTACTGACGCCAAGAGTGCCTTGCATGCTGCAATCTTGAGGGTGTGCGTGACCGTTTTGACCCCTCCCAAAGCTCCTTCAGCAGCATCTCCCACTCCTCCGCCACCATCTACACTGATCTCTGCACTGTGACAAACCGCCATAGCCACATTGATGATCACAGCATCCACCTCCGCCCGCCACCTCTCTGGAAGCATCGATCCCCCCACTGTCAAAAGTGCTTCCAAAACTTCCAACACAGCAATGTACATTGCAACCATAACTGAATCTGTAGACCCTCCCCCCTCCTCAGAAAAAAGAATACTGGCCCCTACAAGTGCTGGCAGCTGTTCATCTGATGCCACAGTTCCACTCGGTTCTTTCCTCTTCCGCATAGTGGACGCCGATGCCTGACTGTGGTGACCATTAATTCCGATCCCTCCACCAGATTGAAGATTTGGCTGCGGTGTGGACACACCCACAGAACCGTGCTGGCCCGACGGAACCCCCGAAGCTGATGTGTTGCCGACCAAAGGAGCTTGTCTTGAAGGTGAAGAAACACCAGCAGGCCCTTGCCGGAGGAGTTGGTTGCCCTTATACTGGTCGTTCGAATAGGACTTCATCATTCCACCACCAGCACCTCCTCTCCCTGGTCCTCGCAAGTCTGAGACGGCAATGCCAACTAAGACGGGAGCAAGCGACAAAACCATTCCCCCTGCACCTGTTGCATACAGAAACTCCGTAATGACATTGTACAGGTGGATTTTGAACGTGAACGCAGCGCTTCTCTTGTCGTCCGGCAGTGTCGCCGATCTGCGGAGACAGTCGGACATCAGCCTCGCAATCTCTCCTGCAACAGGCAACAATTGTCTTCGAGCACCTCTGAGAGTGGCAGACAGAAGATTCAAAGCCCCTGCATGGAGGACGGGCAATTCTGAGCAAAGTGATGCTTGCTGACTGAGGCTGGCCTGGCCGCCAAGTGACGACATGCCCACAGGACGCGAGCCATCGACTGCAAGAACCCTCATGATCAGCGCAAGCAATGGCCTCAGAGGCATAGGAACAGGTGAGGGATAGGGATTGGTAAGCATGTACTCCAAGGTGTGAAACAGGGCCGAGACGCGTGGCACAAACCTTCGCCAAAAAGGAGTCTCTCCGTCAGCGAATGCTGCTACCTCAGCTGCAACCGATGGACCGCCAAGCGGCAATATCTCTTGCTGACGTGGAAGCAGTTCCGCCATAGCCACCTCCGCTGATCCCGGATCCTCCAACCCGGCAAACGCCACATCTAGTTCACTGTTGACGGCCACAAGAACTCTTCGGATCAAAAGGCTCCACGTGTTAGAGTCTCCAACTGCACGAGGCAGCAAGGCAAGCCCTTCTGCACACCTCTGCCTCAGAGAGCTCTTGCAGCCAGTGTTCATCAGTATCATCACAAGCACCGCTTCCACTTTTTCAAAGCTGCTGCGAAGACAAAGCGGGAAAGTCTTCAGGACAGTGCATATCAGATCAACCCCCTCCAGCCAAATTCCACGCAACTGCACATCCCTCAGCAGTTGCAAGAGTGGAACGGTCAGTTTGGACACCAGCGCTGAACCATCCCTCCTTACTCCCGGGCAGTCGATGAGGGAACCCAACCTGGCAAGCAGATCGCTGAGGGCAGCACAGGCTGCAGCTCTGACGAAAGACGACTCGATAGACTTCAGCATTGTCAGAAGCGTTGAGAACCAACCACTGTAGCACTCAAGGAACCGTGACTGCAAACACTCTTTGCAGGTGAGGCCTAGCAGGCAGGCTCCAATTGCTCTGTTCTCGACAACAGGGCTAGCAAGCAAAGAAGCGAGGCGGTCAGCCCATGCGTCAACGGCGAGCTTCCGCGACGTGGTACCATTGCCCGCACACCCATCCAGTGTGCCATTCCTGGTGAAAACCGCAGGACCTCCCATGCGCATCGATCCAAGGTCACCATTTGTCCCCGGCTCTGCCAACAAGTGATGTCTGGTGAGCATCTCGACCGCCGAAGACAGGTGCTGTGGCGTCACCGGCAGCTTCCCATCTTTCGGGAGATGGGCCTGGATCAAGAGCTGAAGAAGTCGGGATCTGAAGCGGACATCGTGCATACTCATCAAAACTTCATCTTGACCACCTGCCTTCGCAGTCGCCATTGTAGCTGTGCTCCTGCCGATCGCTGCCCCTTGAGAACGCAAGCCCAATCCTTGTCAAAATTCCCCCCCTCTCGCCAAACCCCTCCCTGCCACCCCTCTGCGAGGGTAAATCTCAGCTGCAAATTTCAATCCCATTGGATGTCAGATCGACGGGAACAGGATAGGTTGGGAGGTGGGTACAGATCGCGAACACAGTGTTCCTTCAACTGCTTCATATTCACTCTTCTTTGCTTATCATTACATGCCGAACATAAAGCAGGTATGCTTGACAAGCACAGAAATCTATGCCATGCCTCACAGGTCGCCAAGAGATTGTATCATATATCAAACGTTCAGATTATAAATCCCACAAGGAAGGAAGCGACTGATCGCTTTCTTGTGCGATCGAATCAGTCGAATCATTGTGAGATCAAATCTAAATATAAACCCGCGATGATTGTACAATGACATGGCGACCTGTGAGGCACGGCATGGACTTCTGTGCTTGTCAGGCACACTTGCTCTCCGTTCGGCATGTATAATAAGCAAAGATGAGTGAATACAAAGCAGTTTAAGGAACGGTATACCAGGCGTTGACGCTAAGTCCCTGGACTGCATCGGATATCATAACAGAAAAAATGAAAAAAAAAAAAAAAAAAGTTAGAAACTGCTGGCAGTCAAAATCGTCATTGGCGCCAATTAAAACAGAACCTTGACAAAGAAGGGAGCAGAACATTTAATAATGTTTAAAAGTGAGACAAAAAAAAAAAAAAAAAAAAAAAAAAGAGAAGCACCTCTACCCTTTTACACAATTGCCAGATTCACAGTCTACGATTAGTTTTTGGGAAAATTGCATCTGTACCCCACTTAAAGATGGGAATACCCGCTATACCCAGTCCCAGCGCCAACTTTCACCTGTATACCCGGAACACGCTCGACTTTGCGAAGTGCCCAACAAGTTTTCGCCTGTGCGAAATTGTGGTCGTACCCAGTCCCGCAAGGCCTTCAGTCCAGAGCACGAAATTATGCTCATGCCCAGAAATAGGGCTGGCAAAATTGTGGGTGTACCCACACCCAGTGGCGGGCCTTGAATCGCGAACCATGAAATTACGCTCGAGCCCACCAAGTGTACCGTTGTGGCCCAACTGCTGCTGGGTATGAGCGTAATTTCAGCCATCCGGTAGCTGGGTATATGAATAATTTGGCCGGTCCACCTCAGTCCTGGGTGTGCCCATAGTTTTGCCTGGGTATGTTTATAATTTGTGCATTCTGGCGGTTGGTTATAAGCGCAATTTTGCAGTACCAACCTGGGTCCACATCATTCCTGGGCATGCAAATCATTTCCACCGGCCTTTTTCCGGGTATAGATGCAAGTTGGCGCTGGGACTGGGTATAGCGGGTATTCCTACATTTACGTGGGGTACAGATGCAATTTTCCCTTAGTTTTTTTCATTTTGCTTTCTGATGTGGACGATTCGGACTGGGGTTGGCAGACGCAGACTTTGTTTTTTGAATTTTTTTCTTTTTTTCCTTGGGGGGAAGAGGGGGAGGGGAGGGGGAGGGGACCTCGGACGGTTGCGGAGCCCTAGAGAGTACTACACACACGCCCTTGTTAGTAAACAGCACACGAGTTGGAATCCTGACTGGCATCAGATGAACACAATAGAGGTAGGGGGCTACCCCTTAGAAGAACGACAGCGAGAACTCAGCATTCTTTTTCCCTCTGCGACCTCAGCAAATGCGTGCCTTAGGCCCAGGCGCAGTGGACAGCGGACCACACAGATAGCCCTTTCTCTGGGTGTCTTTATCCCTCAGGAATGGTTCCCCCTGCTCTTGCCA